CCATGGTGAGGCTTGGAGCTCCACCCACTGCCATCACCATGCTCTTGCAAAGCATAGGCCAGTGACCTGGAGATCTCATCAGCATAGCGCTCCAGGCCCTTGTCTGTCACCAGCATGCCTGGACAAGGGCCTGCCTTTGCCTTGCATGAAGGTGCCACCTGAGTGCTCAAAACAAGCTGAATCAAATTATTGTTCAAAAATGTGACAGCCCTGATAGCCTCTTGTTTGCACTGCCTGTGATCTTGATTTGAAGCCTATATAGGCTAAACTGAGTTCAATTACCTTAAAGCCTCTATAGGCTACACATTTGCAAGCTAGGTGCATAGATACCTTCTTCCAATGGCCTCTTTGCTCTTGGAGCTGCAGCAGGAGCAGCCTCACAGACACAAAACTGGTTTCAAATAACACTATAGCAAGGCTAAATGTGGTGCATCAATTGTAGTGCAAAAGGGTCTGGTGGGCCTCAACTGGTTCTGCCTTCATGCGGTTGATCTTTTCAGACTCTTCTGCCTTAACACACAGGTTTAAACCACAACAGCAATGTGTTAGCTTATAGGCCTGCATGACACTCAGCTTGCAATGGCTTGAAGCTTGGATGCACACTGCTTTACACACTCCCTGAGTGCATAACCATTGTCGTCTCCCAGGATTCATCCAATGCCTCCTGCCAATGACACCAATGCATAAGATGAGAGTGGGGCTCATGCCTACAATTATCACTACCAAACCATCTCACCTCCTTGGCATGCTGGGCTGCCTTCTTGGTACTTGCTTCCTGCCAAGGTGAGTCCAAACTTATTCCATTATTCCAAACATGAGTCCTTTGTGCAAACAAAACTGTATCATCTAGATAAATTGTCCTTCTTGTACCACTGCATTTCTTTTTCTTCCTTAGGCCAGTGGTACTAGATCCATGTGACAAGAATGTAGCACACAGTTGACAAAGCCTGGTGTCAGTGAACAAAGCTAAGCGCAGCCAAAGTGTCGTGGTGCCTAGCCCACATATCATTCCAATCCCATTCCTCCTGTGGAGCGCTGCTCTTTGAGCTGCTCATCTTTCACAAGGCAGTGTGAAGGCTTGAGCTTGAGCACTGCCCCTGCAAAACAACAAAAATTAATCATTTGAACAACTTATACTGTATACATTTGTATAACCAAACAAAAAGCCTGTATTGGCTTGTAACTTATGACACACATAAGCCTTTAATGGCCACAATGTCAAGCCTGCATAGGCTAGCTTGCAAAAGCTGTGGTACCAGCCTAGAAAGGCCAACACAAACATTAGCCTGTAAAGGCAGCAGCACAACAAACATTAGCCTGCAAAGGCAGCAGCAAAACATTTTCTACCAGCCATGTGCGGTGCAAATTGGTTACTCTTCTGATTCTGAGCCAAGCTTCTGCTTTTTGCAGTAAGCACCAGACTTTACATAGCTCCTTTTCTTTTCAGTCTTGATGCAGTCATCCACATCCAGCATTATGTAATCAAGGACTGCTTTCAACGCAGAAGATTCCAAAGGAATCACTATGTCACTCTCTTTCCAAGTATGGGGTCTCTTCAGCTCCACTAATGAGCTTCCAAGCTGGATTGACACTGTGCTTGGGGCCTTCTTCAAAGCTTGCCTCAAGGTCTTGCCACTTTGTTCAACACATTGTGTCCCTTCTGCACCATCATCAAATGGGTTTGCTCCATGTTCTTCAATATTGTCCTCCTCCTGCTTGGTCAGAACAGCTTCTTTGATCTTGTCCTGGATGCTCTTCAGCTGAGGGCTTGCTGCCAGACTAGGGTTTGGAGCCTTCTTGGCAGCTTCCAGGTGGCCCAAAACAAGCCTAGCAATGTTGACATTGCTGGCCCTCAATCTCAGCCATCTCTTTCCATCTGGGTCAGCTTGAAGCAGACCAGGTGGCACAGTGATCTTGGGGCCATTCCTGTACCTCAGAACCACAGTCTCATAAATTTCCATAGCAGCAGCACACACAAACAAGCTGGAAGCCAAAACCTATCATGCACCTTGTTTGGCTTCAGGGCACAAACTACAACAAAACCAAAACAGCCTGCAATGGCTTCTGAGAAAGCTTGTATAAGCTGATTCCACAAAAGGTTCACAACACAACAAATAGCCTGCAAAGGCAATGGGAAAGCTTGCACAAGCTGCTTCTAGTTAGTGGGAAAGCTTGCGCAAGCTGGTTCAACTTAGCCTTTTTTTCACACCATGGTCAGGTGACTGTTCACTTCTTGACAGTCTTCCTTTTCTTAGATGAATCGGTCTCTGATGGCTCCATCAGCAAGGGTGTGCCTTTCTCAACCACCTTCTTGTTCACATAGGCTGTGACAAGAATCTCATCAATCTTCAAAACTTGCTTGGTCATGCATGCATCATCCATCTCAGCAGCCTCCTTCATCAGCCAATATGGGCTGAACATGCCACTCTCCTTGACAAAGTCAACCCGCCAAGGTTGCGCAACAAAGACTTGGTCCTTTACATGAGCAATTTTGATGGTGCACTGGTTTTTTGTAATCTTCTCAACAGGCATCAGCTGTAGGGTACCTAGTGGAAGCAATACCAGCTTGCCCTTGCTGTACTTGCATCCTGAAAACAGCTCATGCATAGTGCTGACTAGCACCTGTGGATCGCCAAGCCTGAGTTTGTGAAGACAGCAACCAGCAGAGAAGACTATATAGTCAGGAACACTTCTCTTGGACCTTGAAACCAAAGATCAAAACTGTGAGAAGGCTTTGCCTAGAAACTCAAAGTATTTCTCATACAGAGAAGTTTGGGCCTTTGCCTTGAGCAGCTCAGACTTCAAAGTTGCTGAAGCACTGGGAAGCAATGATGCCCTGACTGAATCATCAACAAGCATTGGCACTGGCTTAGACCATTCCTTCAAGGTCTTCAACTCAGAGAGCTTCACTTCCTTGCGCTCTTCACCAGTGAAGTAGGGCTTGTGGACCAAGATGGCAGAGCTCTCTGTTACATCCACAAGCTGCCAAACCTTGGACATGCTTTCCTTGCAAGCAACATAGTGCTTGCCAATCTTGATGTGCTGGTGCACGTCAAGAGCTATGCTCCTTGGATTGGAAGCATCAGCCAAGGACTTCACCGATGCAGCCTCTGCTGTTGGTTTGGCATCCTTTTTGCCACTGTGAGAAGTTTGCAGCATATCGGCTTCAAATTTGTCCTTGATGTCTGTCATGCTGTCATACTGGACTTGCTCCCTGCCCTTCATTTCCTTGCCAAGCAAATGCAAAATCAGTCTGATTTGCATCTTGCCAAATGCCAAAGCAAATTGCTCCAGAGGCACTCCAGTGGTCTCTGTAGCTTCCCAGGCACTGGCCATCAAAGCTTCTGCAGTCTGCACATCAGTGCAGATCTTTTTGGTCTTCAACTTGTCGATGTCAGCTTTGCTGATCATTTTTGAAATTGAATTTCTCACCTGTTGCTGGGGCGCTGTAATCTGCACTGCACATAAGGCCACCCTCAAGAAGGGTAGGGTGGTGCCACTAAGCTTCCAATCTGTGTAGGCAACTGCAGAACAGAATTCTTCACCCAGCATGTTGGAGCCACCATATTGCTTGCCTTGGATGCAAGGGGTGCAAGTTTCAATGAGCACCTCCAACCAACATGCAGCAAGCTTGTAATAGCTTTTCATGTTAACCAAGCTTGTAGAAGCTAACCAAGCTTGTAGAAGCTAACCAACTTTGCCTGAAATGGGCTATAGACCTGCATGTGCAGCAGAGAAGCAAATGAAATCAAGATATTTCAGCAGCTTGAAGCTCTCTCCTCCAGCAAACCTGGAAACAAAGTCACCAATGCATTTGATGTAGGCCTTGCAAGGTGGAAAGCTGGAGGCTGCCTGCTGCACAGCTTTGTCCAAGTCTTTCTGCCCAGGAGCTTGTAGCTCATAGTGCTGCGCAATGGTCATGGCAACCTCCAATTCTGTAGGAGGCTTCACAATACCATGGTCACCTGTGGATGGTGCCATGCATACATTGAGAACTCCACACATGGTCACATTGCTTTGGTGGCCACAGCAAGGAGGTTTTCATAAAAATGCACTTACCAACCAAGTGGCTGTTGTAGGCCTGCTGAAGCAAACCAGGAAGAGATGGACACTCTTCCTCAGCCTTGGCTGAAATAATTGTCCACTGCCATCCACTTTGCACCATCTCCTGTAGGTCGCCTCCTTGTGCCATGAGCTGCTCCATGGACAGCTGGTCATTGCCCATCCTGCAGCCACTTTCCAAGCACCTCAGGAATGCTGTCAAGTGGGAAGAACTCAGGCTGCAATACCGCTCTTCTCCAAAAGGTCTTGCCAACATGCCTGAGCTTTGGTCAGCCAGTTTTTCATTTGCTGCAATCACTGCACTTCTCTTGTCCCCATCATGAGGCAGTTCAATTGCCACAGATTGCCGAACCTTGTTCAAGTCCCATCCAACAGCTGAGATCTGCTGGCCTTTGGCTACCACATCATGGGGGTTAACCATTTGACCACCCCGGTTGGCAACATGAACCAGGATCTGATTGGGCCTCAGCTTGGCATTGTAAGCCAAGCCTGCACTCTTGAGCACATTCATAGCTCTTGAGGCTTTCTGGTTAATCTGCATCTCCTCATCTTTGATGATCTTCTTCAACTCATCCACCCATGGGAGCGACATGGGCAAGCAAGTAAATCACTTTCCAAGTGGCATGCAAATTTTGCACACATGGCCCATGCATTGTCCAACATTGCCCTTCCATGTTTTCATGCACACTTGTTCTGCTGGTTCATAGCACATGTGGCAAAATGCCTTCAGCTTGTGCCATGACCCTGATATGGTGAGCAAGCTTATACAACAATTACACAAAGTTAGTTGCAAATTGAGCCTGCAGTGGCTGGCAACCCAAAGTGAGCCTATACTGGCAACAAGCAGCCTCAAGCTTGTACAAGCTGTTTCTTCAAGTTGAGCATTCATATGCTGTGCGCAACACAAAGGTATACATCAAACAAAGGCAACACAAGTTTCAAAAAAAAAAACATCCTACATATTTGAAAAACAGTCCTTGAAAAATTGTTTTACAACGTTGCACAATTGCCATAACAAGACAAATCAAAAAAGCTAAATGTTTACTAACTCGTATAATTTTTTATGTTTGTTACAGATGTTAACATAACAGTTAAAAAGAAATAGATAATGTTGTTAACAAATAGACATGTTATAATAGTGTTATGACACTTATAAGTAGTTATAAATAGTTATAACTGTCTTGTAAGTCCTTATGAAACACTTAGCAATGGTTGTAACATGTGTAACACATTAGCAAAACCAGCAGCTTCAAAGCAGGTCATCAGCCTCGACGCCTTGGGAACCGCCCTCAACATGTCCGCAGACGACGTGCGCGCCTACATCATCGAGCAGCTCAGGAGCGCTGAAGCCGGATCAACCCATGGAGGGTATGCTACAGGAGCTACTGGTCGACCGGCCGATCAACCTCCTCAATCACCTCGTGGACCTGGGAGTCCAGACCTGTGAGGATGTTCATAGCCTGTGGCCCACAGGAGGTGCGCTCCTCGATGAGTTGGAAGGGCGCCATGGCTCGGTGTCCGCGGAGGAAGGCTTCACCATCGTCTCCTTCTGGACTTTGGCGTCTCAGAGGGCTCAAGCCTCACAGCGCAAGCACTTGAGGGAGATCTGCATCCACCGCCAGTCGGCAGTCTCCACCTCGGCCCCAGCCAGACCAGAGGGACCTTCACAGCCGGCCGCTCGGCCGGTGCGCCGCCTTTTGGAGACAGGAGAGGTCAGGGAACCTCCACTCCTCATGAGCCTTGCGGCCCGAGACCCCTATGTGAAAGAACAAGCAGCCAAGATGGCCAAAACCCAGACCTTGTTCGAGCTCCTGATCCAGGACTTCCTCAACCTGGAAGAATTGGGGGTCTCCCGAACCCAGCTGCAAGACGCCACCAGGATGCAACTCCTCAAGGAGTCTGTTATGCCGGCCGCTGACAGGCTCTCGGTGCATCGCTTGGGAGCTCTGGCGAGCACCTTGCGAAGGTGGCGGGAGTTTGCTCTCAGGTTGGGGTTCGAGGTGCGGCAACCCACCCCTCTGCAGTTGAGCACCTTCCTCAAGGAGGTCGCACGCGGGGGTCCCACAGCAGCATCAGCTATGTTCCACGCCCTCAACTGGTTCCGGTCACAGTTCGGGGTTCAATTCCCGCTGGACCACTGGATGGTGCGCGGTTACAAGCTGCTTCCTGTGGGACATACCTCGCAACAGAAGCTCGAACTGCAACCGTGGGAGTTCATCAACATGATCCTGAAGCTTCGCCAAAGTTCCGGCACCAACACTTTGGTGCTGGCATTTATGTTGTGGGCGGCTGTATCCTGCATCAGATTCGAGCATATTCAACGGTCTAAGTTTGACCACCTGGCGGCCAATGCCCTGTTCTTCACGTGCTCGCAGGGCAAGGCGCGGCGCCAGGGGGCCCGGCCTGCCTTCCAATGGGCTATGCCTGACATCCCATTGGCCAGGGTTCAGCTTGATCAAGGTCATCCAGGACTTTGTCACCATGGAGCTTCTGCCAGGGTGCAAGTTCTTATGGCCGGCATTGCAGCTGGACCCGATGGACCTGTGGCAGGTCACGGAACACACCCCTTGGGCTTTGGACCGCAAGCTGTCCAGAGGACGCTTTTTGGAGCTGCTGCGGGGCACCCTCCTCGACCTGGGCACGGCTCCCGACCAAGCCCAGACTGCGGGATTCAACCGTTTGAGACGGTTCCTCCCCACTCTTGGGAATGTGGTCCGGTTGACCCCGGCGGACCAACAGGCCATTGGCAATTGGGTTGAGATCCCCACTGGCGGTGGACCCATCCCCAACCAGAAGTCACGGGCCACCTGGACCATGGGGATTCATTACAGCGGCCAACGAGCTCTTCATTCAGCCCAGGTGAAGAAGGCACTGCTGAAGCGCTTCATGAGCCTTTACCATGCCAAGAAGGCGGAATTGGCGCTGACAGATGAGGGACTGCACCGCCGGGACAGTTGGACCTGGGCAGAATTCGCTGCCCAGAATGAGCGCCTTGGTGACCTTGGGACCGAGCTCCCGGCACCACCACCGGTCGAGATCGAGCAGGACCTGCCTACAGATGATGCCACTGCCAGGGGCTCAGCGGATGTCCAAGACCTCCCGTTGCCGGTGGACAATGGGCCAGAACCGGAACCGGAGGCAGCTGACAATGAATCCGTCACGGACACCTCCTCGAACTCCTCAGAATCAGCCTCCGATGTGTCCAATGAAGCCAGCGATTTGGAGGGCGCCCTGTCTGACGATGACGTGGCCGTGTCCACGCATTGGATGGTGCAAGGGGCCAAGGTTCACATCATCCGAGGGGAATCGGATGGACGTCTGCTGCCGTGGTGCCGCGACGCCCCTTTCTCCCAAGATCCCCGATCGACAGGAGAGGGCTTCTCCTTAGTATCGCGCCAGCGATTTTGCCAACGATGCTTGGCTCGCATGCCCAGGGGATTGTACCGGGCACTGGCGCGGCATTGCGGGTGGCTGAACTAGCACATCCCCGCGTGTGGTATGAAAAAGCTGCCTCGGTCCGCCCGGCTGGAGCCCATCGTTCGGTCATACAACCTCGTCGACGTGTGTGCGGGGTAGGGTCGGGGTTTTTGGGGTCGGTGACGAGTTGATTGGTGGCTCATCGCCTGTGCTCCGGGACCACGGGGACCCGCCGGCCGACGTCGATCGAGGGTTTTCCATTTCGCGTTTGGGCAACCCCCCTTAGTCCACCACCCCCTCTTAGGAGGGCGAGGGTGAGAGAAAGGGTACCCGGGTTACGTGTGTTTGTGATGTGTCTTCGACACCGCAACCATGGCCCAACTTCTGCAACAGCCCAGTTTTTTTTTTTTCACTCGCTCGATCTCCGAGTGCAGCGCCCCTGAGTGGCCCAGTGTGCTCTGGGTTTCCCAGCACCTGCTAGACCCTCGGAGCCCTGCCATGAGCCGTGGACACCAGATTGATACTCTCCAAGATGACCGTGGCTTAGCTGCTTGTCTCAGTGGCTCCAACGTCCTCCCGGAGTGGGCCGATGCCGTGATCCGTGCACATAAATGGGAGACCTTGGAGGACTTTATTTTCTCCGTGGACGAAAAGGACGTCACGGCGGCCATCCAGTCACTGTTGGCGCCTACAACCTTCAAGGAAAATCGGTTGGCACAGGCTCGCCTGCGTGCGGCCTATTCAGCAGGGGCGGAGGCCATCAAGCAAGCGGCCCAGGCCGCTAAGTCATCCGAGGGGGTGGATGACCCACTCCCGGAATCCACCATGGAGCAGCTCAACCGCGACTTCAGATCCAAGTATGCGCTCATCGTGGAAGCTACGCTGGAACCCAGTGACGCTCTGAGAGCCCGGGTTTACAGGGAATTCAGAAAGAGGACTATGTCGGTGGTACCAGCCTCTCGCATCAAGTCAGTCCTTCACCAGGCTACACCACGGCAACAAGATGCGGTGAAATTAGGAGAAGGCATCCAGCTTGAATTCCACACGGAGGAGGCCCGCACTATTCGCACTGTAGTAGACTACTACTGGTCGCTCCGCACATTGGCCTATGCATGGGCGTGGGCAGGGTTGCACCAGCAGCGGGGGCATGATGGTAAGGAGACGGTATTTATCTCCCTTACCGCTGCCCTGAACTACGCTGACCACGCGCTCTCCAGTGCCATGGAATTCGGCCAGGGCTCCAGGTTGTGGTTGGAGCGCAACGACCTGCTGACACGTACCAAGATGGCCAGTTACATTCGTCAAGGTTACAATGCTTGGGAAGCACTTCAAGAGGCCTTGCGTGAGACTCACCTTGAATGGCGCGCCAGTGCCATTCAGGCCGTCCCCAATGAGCCTGCAGGCGCACCCAAGCGAGCAGCCCCGGGTGCCAGTGAGGCTGTGCCTCCTGCGCCCAAACGACGCCAGATCAAGCAGGATTCGTACCAGACCATCTCCATGCTGAAAGGGGGCCTGAAGTTGTGCAAGCCTTGGAATGATGGACGCGGTTGTGCAAACAAGAAGTGCCCGCAGGTTCACAAGTGTGATGTCAAGCTGCCGACAAGTAAGCCGTGCCAGGGACCCCACACAAGGCTCGAGCATCCGAGCGAATAGGGACAACTCCCCCTGGCAGCCTGTGAGCTGCGGGGGGTTGAGCATCCAGTGCAGCAGAGGGATACCACGGCGCCACCTCAGGTGGCCGTGCGGCAGATCACCTTGCGCGAGCCTATGGAGCTCACCCCTTCGGCTTTAGCTACCCGGTTGGTCGGGGCAAAACCGGTGACATGGCGTGGTAGAGGAGACCTGCCACAGTTCCCTTGGGGTATATCTATTCGAGGCACTTGGCTAGTGTTGGACCTCTGGGCGGGCATTGGGGGACTGTGCATTGCATTGCTTGCTCTCGGTGTTCACATCTACGCAATCAGCGCTGAGAGTGACGCGGTGGCTAGTGCCGCTGCACAGGCTGCAATGCCCAATTTGGTGCATATTGACTCAGTTGAGGAACTCAAGGGAGCGGACCTCCGCCAGTTCTTGCAACGGCGCCAAGTACGGGGCATCATCCTGGGTGGTGGTTCCCCGTGCCAAGGCAACTCCAGCTTGAACCGAGGCAGGCAGGGTCTTAATGACCCGAGATCT